GCATCACCCCTCGACCAAAAGGGGCAAAAGCTGAATAACAAACATGTCTGCTGGGAATAACAAACTCCACATGAAAACCAACGCCTTTATGACACCTAGCATAAACACATACCATCACATCAATGATATCTATCCAGAATATAGGCTCTGTTGGAATATCACAATAGGACGGGGCTTCAGCTTGTTTGCTACAGTGTGTCCTTCACGTGTTAAAACCGAAGTCATATCCCCACCTCCGACCTGAAGTTCGCGTCCGTTGTGTGAGCTTGTGAGGAGCACCCGCACAAGCTCCGTGAATGAAATTCATGTTCGAAGCCTCAAAAAATGAAACACAGATTTATACAAACGGTGCGAATAGCTGAAATATTGGCAAATCCAAGTCCAAAACTCCAAAGATTTGTACAGAATCTTTGGATTCGCGTTTTTTGCTTTCAAAATGATTTCCATGATTTCTTGATTTTTGTAGAACCCAAAAAAACTAGGACAAACTTGGGTTTTGCTGGTGTCGCTGGTTAACATACTTATATATTGTTCTAGGATTCTTTTGGATTTTGTACTGGAAACATAAAACTAAGAAATACGATGATTTCGACCGGTGACACCAACAAAACTCAATTTACTTGGGAATTTCGAATTTCGCTACAAATGCTCCGAACCACCGATATTGTGACACAGTGTTGGGTGGATTTGTGAGTTTCTGATAACAACAAAGTCATCGGTATTTACGGTGGCTTCTATGTGTTTTGCATATTGAGGAAAAACGGAGGTGGATCATGGGGGGGTGACCATATGTGTGTGCATATATATATATATGTACACATATGGACACATAAATAGTAATGGAATAGTATGAATAGGACTAAACACAACAGTAATGATGCTGATAATGATAACCGAAATAATATTGCTGACACTGTTTTAAGAATACGAACAATCGTAACACCACAACCACAGCCGCAATCATCCATATCAGTATCACTATCAACATCGGTTGTAATATAAACTGTCATAACAAAACTGGCAATAACAAGATAAAAATAATAATCAGAAGAAAAACTAGTTCATCGCAATAACATTAAAACATAGATATGTAAGATATATATATGTATGTATATATAGATATCATATGCGTATATTCGGCTAGCCGTTCTACATGCGGGTTCAGACAAGCCTGGGGATCCCTAGCTTCCCCGCCTGAACCCTCGGCATATCCCACAGGCTGCGGTGTAGCTTGTAAAAAACCCTACAAGCGATAGAAAGGCCTATGCGTGCATGCATAATATCATGGACCAGGTTACAGTGCCATCATCCCGAAGATGCGATACCACTCGGCCTGTTGCACATGAAGCAGCCAGAAGCCATCGCTGCCGAGCACAGAGCAGAACGATCAGAGCGCGTGCACGCAGCCTAAGTCCGCTCGCGAGCTCCTTGAAAGCCACGCTGGAATCGTCAAGAAACTACAGAATCGTTGAATATAACCAGTCTCTGGGATGCGGTTCGATCTCGAAAGCTGCAGGAAGGCGCACATCTAGCGAATGTGGTCTCTATGCCGAAGATGGCATGCCTAGAAGGCACCAGAATTGCATGCGGAGCTGTCTTTTGCAATCATGCCATGGCTCCTTCTGCATGAGGTGCAAGATCTGTATGCAGAACGGATGGTACCTGCGAGGTTTGCTTTGGAAGTGACGTAGACATCTTCACACACGACCTTGCGGCTGCAAGCCCGGGGCACGGAGTTCGTTGGTGCGCCGACGTGGTCTTCAGGAGACTTTGGACCTTGGCAATCGCACGTGGTCCTTATTCATGCCAGCAGCTGTCAGCACGTGCCTCACCTGCCTCACCCAGTCTGTGCGCACCAAAGCTTCAACTCTTCTGCGAACGAAGTCTTTGGAAGTCATCAATGTCCGTGACCCCGACGAACACACAATGCATGGGCTGACTTGTGGCGCTCGCGATTTTGCAATAGACCGCTTGCACCTCGCGCTCTCTTGGGGCACCTCTTCCATTTCACACTCGTTTTTGGCTGTGGTACTTCAAAATACTAGTAGGGGAGGGAGGCTGCCTGTGGCCCTGCGAAGTGCGAGGCCAAGCTCCGCACCATTTCGCAGGCCCGCTGCATGGTCGTGCAATATCTCACGCTCGGATGCGAGGTTCACGAGCGCACGTGCAAGCGACTTTCGGGCTATGGGCTATGAGTTTGGGGCAGGGCATATGGTGTGCCATGACTGATCCTGGAGCCAATGGCCCTGCTCAGCACGGAACCGAATGCCTGATATGGTTTTCCTTTCCTTCTGTCGTGGAGATAGCAGGGGCGAACCTGTGGGGCACAATCCTGCGAGTCGTTGCTACGGTCTTGCACTATTCCAACGTCGGAAGTCCACGATGCCTGTTTCAAGGGACAAAGTTCACCAGCAGATTGCATCAAGATGCGCTACCTCGAGGTCTCCAGCTTCATTGAGTGCGAGGACAGCCAAAGTCAAAGCAAAAGTTCACAAGTGCTTAACTCGCCCTCGTCGCGCGTGCGCGCAATAGCGTCTTACCTCAACCCACCGCCATCCCCGGACGACCACGAGCACAATAGCAGTGATAGCAAAATCGACCGAATTAGCAGAGCGACAACCACGAACAAAAAAACAGCTAGCACGGACAGGCTCCCACTTTTTCGTGGATGTGGACAATTATCCCAATTAGCCTGGGGAGAACACTGCGCGCGCTTGGCTTGCACTCCCCAAGTGCACTCCAGCTTTCTTGGAATCTGTATTAATGTTGCTATTGTACATCTAGTGGTGCTCTTCTTGGCAATTGTACACATGCAGTTCTGACTGTTACGACCTACTGTACTTTCTTGGTAAGTAATTCTGAATCGTTGCGACATTGGTGAAGACCACTTCTTGGGACACCGACCTTTGCGATCACACATGTTTCTTGCAACTTCTCTCTCTTTGCTGTTCTTGTCTCTTGATTGTGGCAAAAGGGTTCCATCTGCCCACCTTGTTATCCATTTGGTGTCGTTGATGTACCGCAACCTTGCCAAACCCAATCACGGCCTCCCTGCATAGGCGATGTTGCCTTCACGCTCGTATGCCTCCTGCTGGGCAGCAACCCCTGCGCTCTTGCGCTTTCGCCCGTGCACACATGCGTGCACGTTTCCCAAGGGAGGCATTGTGGGCCAGGTCGCGACTCAACGCTTCATGGAGCACTAGCCAAGTACTGCAAGTGTGCGTCCGCCAGCGTCCAAGTGTGCCCGAAACAATGACAACGATGCCATCCGCGGCGCCAGTTAAGTTAAGCCTCGCTTCACCGCAACTGCAGACAACCAGCGGAGCCACAGACTCGCATGCGAAGAATCAGAGCCCCCATTTGGGCAGTCCCCACCAGAGCAGGCTTCTTATGAGGCGATGCGGTTTTCCGCCATCTCCGCAACAAGTGCTCAGCCGAGCTGCGACATGCTCTCTTCCCAGGCGAAATGCCACAGAGGAGATGTCGCGATGCTCGACCAACAAATTGGGCTTCCGGCGATTCCCCATCAGCCCCACTGCTGGTTTCGGGTAGCCGGTCTTCTTGAGCATCTGGGTGATCGCGTTGATGGCATGCTGGTTCTTCATCTTCGCTTCAGAAAGAAACTCCACGAAAACAAAAGTCGGAAGACGGTGGGCACGCTCTTCGCACTGCTGAGTGTCAACAGGTTTCTGGCGCACCTGTGGAAGTAGCTGAAACCTTTGGAGTTATTGAGGACATTCCAGACTCTACTGACCTGGAGTTTCGTCGGCATGGACAGTGCTTGGAGGAGTCACTCGAACTTATTGGTTCCTGGAGAAAGCTTCGTTGTCCGGTGATGTCCGCTGAACTTCGTCAACAGGTAGTCGCAGCGGCGGGCGGACAGTACGACAACAACAAGCTCAGAGCTGCTCCGAAGGCGATTGCTGTCGAGGTGAACACGGAGGACGATAGCCACCTAAGCCTTGCAAGCTGTGCACATCGTCAGGGAGGAAGGCCCCAGCCAAAATTCATGCCACTTTTCAAGAAGCCGAAGACACTCAGGAGGATCAAGGCTGTGAAGAGGATGTTGATGTGCTGCTTGAGCCATTAGAGGAGGAATTGTAGTGTTTGCTGACCCAAGCAGCTAAGAATCTATGGTACTGAGTATTGGTGCGCCAGCGCCGCGACACATGTGGGGGGCCGAGAGCAGGACCAGTTGTTGGCCTTTTCAGACACATGCTGTGCTCGGTGAGTCGTTGGTGAGGAATGCGCCAGCAACCACATGAATCATCTCCATGATGTACGTGATCAACGAGGCGAAGCCTTTCAGGTTTGGGGCTGGATTACGAATGGAGTCGCTTTACAGCGTTGTGTTTCCTGTGAGCCTCGCGGATGCTCAGGCAGTGCCAAGGCCGCTTTGAAGACGTTGGTGCCAAGCTGGATCTTGGGTCAAGCATGAAGCAAAGTTGGGCGAGACGCCGATCAAGGCAAGGTTTTCCCCTCGCGAGATGCTGGAGGCGAAACCGAGGTTGATACATCGCAAAGATCAGTGACGAGGGCGCGGCATACTACGAGACCTATACCGAGACGAAGGTCGAAACAGGCCGAAACCAGGCTCCTCCGATTCGGTCCGATTCTGTTGCCAGCCAAGGATTTCCGGTACGCTTTTCCATAACAAAGTTCTGTGCCCGAAACTCGGATCTATTCCAGTACTCAACGCGAACAACTTCACTCTCCATTGATAGGATGAAGTCTTTCAGTCTTTCCCAATTGTCCTCGGCACCTGACTCTTGTTTGTCGAAAGCCGGTCCCCTCAGCAGCGAACCACTGTTCGTCCTCCATCGTGGACGCCGAAAGTCTCCGCGCAGCATCGGGATCATCATTGCTCCCGCGTGGTCATGCGTGGTCCACAGGTTCCCACCTCTGGTCGCTGCAGATTCTGCCGGCCCAGGTTTTTGCAGAGCTTCCGAATCAGCCTCCCCACGTTGTGCTTTGCCACTGCTGATTACCCCAAGCGGGGGCAGCTTTCCATGCCCATGGCGCATTGCCAGATGAACTCCAGCCGTTGCCGGCAAAGTCATTACAAAAATGTCCAAAGCCAGTTTGCCAACTGTTGTCGCCGCCCCAGCACTGCCCGTCCCACCAGCCACCACTCGAAGAGGGATAGAGCGCATCGCTTCGGCTGTCCTCTGCTCGAGGATCTGCTGTCTGCCCTCGTTTCTACCGCCGCCAAGGAGCCCTGCTCTGCTGCCAATGACAGCAACCCTCAAGGCAGCGCAGAACCTGCACAAAAACGGCCCGCCATGTTGCTCTGACAGGCGAATCCTCATCGACACATTCAGACAGAACACCTGCTATGACAGTTCCGGATCAAACAGCTCAAGCTTTCACAGGCCGGTTGGGAATTGCAAAACAGCTGCAGCTTGAGGCCCTTTCAGGCTCATGTGCATTTGGGCGCTGTGATTGTGATTTACCTTCATGCACCCGGCGAGCTCGGGGAGGATGGGAATCTGAAACTGTTTTCTGTGTTCTCCAAATTCACATCATAAACGGGCATGTCGTTTGTTTGCCGCCACGAGTATGTGTTCCGATGCAGGCGCTTTGTCCCAGGGGTTCGGCTAGAGCATTCTGAGCACTTTGGTGTCCTTACATGGGTTGCATTGCCAGCTCCACTGCATTTCTTTAATCGGCGATTTCGGGCAAAGTGTCACCGCCAGTCCGACCTCAAATGACGTCGATCTGTACTTTCCGGGAGCGGCAAAAAACTGAGCGAAGTGAGTGCGATATGGTTATGCAGTTATGCATATTGTACAATTTAATAAACTCAACCATTTGGAACATTTCCACGTTGGTTGAACGCAGCGTAAATACATTCCTGAACAGCAGAAGCACACAAGAACAAAGCCTTAACAAAGCCCTTCACCAGAGAAGTGGAGCAGCAAAAGAACATGGCACAAAGAAGGCGGGAAAGGAGACAGCAAAGGCCCTCAGGAAGCACCGACACACCGAACATTCCACAAGAAGAGCCTGCAGCAGAAGCAGCATCAGCAGAGACACGGCAAGAAGAAGAAGAAGAAGAGAAGCCGGATGATCAAGCGTTTTTGCGAGGTTGGTTCATCTGGGAGTCCAACAAGACGCGAGACCTGTACAGCGCGTACAGTGAGGGCTGGAAGGATGCAGAAGATTCATTGCCGCTGCAAAGGCAAGACTGGGTATGAGAGAACAGTCACGAACTACCACGAGAAAGGAAGATGGGACGATGATGGCGTGAAGAAAGAACATTCATTGTAGGCCCATTAGAAGAAACAACACCAAAAGAAGCACATGCAGAAGCCAACACTGAGCACCAGCAAGAAGAACAGCAGCATGAATACACAACTTGG